TTCTATTAAGGTTAGATTAAATATGTCAAAAAAGTGTCAACACGTCCGTTATCGCACGATCTTTCTCCGTTGACGGGTTAGAGGAGCAAAAAAAAAATAAGTGTGAAAAGTGGCGCGAAAACGCTATGACCAATCAGAGAGCTGTCGGACCATCGTATCAACGAATTACGATGCATGAAAATCAAGCTTTAGTAGCTTCAAGTTGGATAGATAAAAGATACCAATAAGCTGTATTTTCATAAACCTAAGATCTTATCTATTTATCTACCTATATAAAACGATATTTCTTGACTTTCCAGGCTCTCCTCGAAAATCCTATTCCTTATTTTCGGCAAGTCTTTCTTCTTCCGAATTTCTTCACCCGCTTTTTCGAAAATTTCCACTTCGTTTTCGTTTTCTTCTTCGATAACATTCTCACTATCAAGTATTCGCTTGATCCTAACAGAATTTGCATCTCGAAATTCTAAGAAAACTGTGGTTGGTGATGAGACACAAACACGATCTCCGATGTTTCTACGGCGTTTCCTCAGGATAGTCGGACCTGATCTCGGTGGAGGTACGGGTGCGGGTACTTCCGAATAATTCTTCGGCCCATTTTTCGGTTTTTTGGTGTAAAAAATCGATGAATTCGAAGGCTTATGGTGGGTTGGTTGGTTTACATACATCATTCATTTTAAATCCACATTTATTTAACAATATTTCACACTAATTCAAACGCCTACAATTTGATAAAGATGATATTATTTAATTTTGCTGCAAGATAATAATTGGTTTGTTTTATGCCCTACCAGCTTATTAGGTAAGTATCTCGGTAAGTATGATCTACACTACTTATTGTAGAAAATTTTGGACAAATAAAGAACAAAACTATATTTTCAGTTATTTTATCCACAAAATAAGGCGCTAAGATACTATGAAATCTTTGTCCATAAACTTTCTTACTCTAAATATGCTTTAAACTAATATAGGTACTTTAAACTACATCAAAATCATTTAAAAATATTTCCATTATGTACTCTTACAATGAATATTATTGACAACCAAATTACTTAAATCCCATTAACATTGCAACGTTAACTAATTTTAGTTAAACTAAAATCACTAAAAAATAATAATTTAAAATTGGAGATCAAATAAATATACTGGTAGGAGATAAAATATCATTAACGTATCTTGATAACAATAAAAACAAACAAAATACCTACATTTTACAAACACTGGCAATTTAGTATTTCAACAGAACTATTTCATTTTTAAAACATGCTAAAGAATTTCTGTAACAATTGTGGGTTTATAACAGTGACCTTGTAGGAGGCAGCGTTAACTTGTCTTGTCCTTTTAGAGCAAAACTCGCCCATCAAAGACTATTCACACCGCTTATGTCATGATCTAGAATAATTCCAACAATCAAAAACATCAGTGAATATCGTTATAATTTTTTTATTGTACCTAGATGTACTGAGATTAAGATTTAGAACTGGTTATAATTTTATTGGTTACATTAAACAACATACTGACTAATACTCGTTATATAAACATTTTACCAGTTTTCTGTTATTACTTTGTGAGTAATTTCTCTGTTAATATTGGGTATATTTCTAAATTACTAATTATTGATTACACGAATGTCAATGTCAATCAATAATAATGACACATAATGACAAGACAAGATAAACAAAGATACCCTATTATGCGTCACTGTCTACCGCATGATAAAAATCCATTTACGTTCACAAATTACCAACAATTAAGTCACTTTTAATCACTGTAACTTTGCGCACATCACTACAACATCCAGGATTCGCGTAAAACTGTTCGATAAAAAATTGTGACTCCGAAAGACTTTCACTTCACTTCGTCACACGAGCAAAGTAACGAAACGAACTTATTTTCAAACGTCTGCCGTTTGCAACCAACGAGAATTACTAAAATATTAAAATATGCATCCGTAACGATCTCATCCCGTCACTATATTGTTTTCGCGTTTAAAAATGGCCGTCCATCGTTAAAATTATGAAGAAAATGAAAAAGTTTCCCGTCGTCGAGTGTTATGAAAACAAAGGAATTTCTGCGATGGCACCGTCCTTGTCTGGCTCACGGCGAACTATAGTTCGTTCTCGCACAGAATCGTTACCGAAGAAAAGCGAAATTGACGCCGGCCATGGACGCTAAAACATCGTTGTCAGATCTAACAGAATTTCTATATCTTATGTAATTTTTTAATATTATATTTAGCTCGGTTTGGCTCGGTCCATTCCACGCAAGGACTTATCGTATGATTTGCTTGCCCCGACAAAATCTTGCAGATAAAACGTACATACCAAATTGTGTCTAAATTACGACTTGTCATTTAGTCTGCTTTTGTAATCTGTTATATCATCTTGGAGGAAACACTGTTGTGATTATGTAGTTTTGCTATTTGTTTAAATAAGTTAAACGTCTTAACTACATGTCTACTAGAATTTCTTGTGGTGTCTTGGTCGTTCAGAAAATTAAGTAAATTAGAATACCATAGAGACGATTTACAAATAATCCTCATCCCCAACAGCCGAACGAAGTTTCGATAATTCTTTTCTGTAAAGAGTTCTAAGAGAATTATTTTTTTCGTTACTGTATCCCCTAGTCGCTTCAGGGCCCAGGTCCTTGAATTTTTCGGAAATAATCTCGTAGGTCTGATTTTTCTTTTCACTGTCACTGTATTCTTTGATTTCACTGGCCATAAGCAAAAGAAACTCTTCTACAAATGAACAGTGACGCATCTAGAGATTAAGTCTGGGAGGGGGGGGTAGTGGTTAATATTTAAATAAAGTACTAGAACATTAATTTTTTGCTGAAAGATATTGTGACTGCGGAAATAGATAAACTTGGATTGGGCTGGCTTTTCTATTTTAATTTGTATTATTAATTTCTTTTGTGGCAATTTCATAATATACCACCTATTTATACATTTCTCTCTGAGAGGGGTAGGTTGGTTTGGGTTGGGAACTACGCTTAATATAATTTACATACGTCCAATGTCTAATACAGGGTGTCCCAGAAATAAGTGCAAGTATTTTAAGGGGTGGTAGATCTCGATAAAAGAAACATATTTTCTCTTTATCGTTTTTCAAATAAGTCCAAAATAACGGAGTTATTTTACTTTGAAAATTTCCAAAAAAAATGATTTTTTGCTAAAATTTTAAGAACCACTGGACCTTTACTGTATTTTCTTTCTTGTAAATTTAATCTAATACCTATATGTTGCCATATTATCAAGATATTATGTTTTTTGACTAAAAACTAAAAAAAAATTCCAAAAATTTTTTCAAAAAATTTCGAGATTTCAAAAAAAAATTTCGCGAAAAAAGAACTAATAGGCGTATTTCTGGGGTTGAACTACCAGTTAAAATACTTGCACTTGTTTCTGGGACACCCTGTATAGTCTATCCAATGGGAAGGATCCATGACACTGGCAGTTGTGTCGGTCTAATTGTATGCAAACTGTATTTTCCGTAATTTTTTGGATGACGTCTGTTGAAATATTCTGTTGAAAAAGCTGACTGGCTGTCTAAATGAATTTTAATAATCTATTATTAAAAAAATTGAATGGCTAAAGTAAACTTGGCAACACGGCTGTAACCTCGAGCGCGACCACTGTGTTGAAGCAACCTGTTTAAATAAAATGATAAAGGTTGTAATTTACTAATTGAAGAAACGATTGCATAAAAATACAATGCTTGTGTGCGTCGAAAAACATTTTCAAGTTGCTTCAGCGGTACCCTAGCTGTTGAATATCAATGAATCTTTGTTGATTTAACGAAAAATATAATCAGTTCCGGATTATAAAACACTAGCGGTTATATGATACTTTTAATTACGTATGATATAGATAATAAATACTAGTAATGCATATTAATTAGTGTATATAAAACTAGAAGCACTGTCACTTTCTCTATTTAACGTGAGCGAAATACGAATTTATTGAGTTTTATTTTTTTAACGTTTGAATTCAGGTTCGAAGAAATGTAGTAATCTATAGAAAGCTTATTTATCTATATTTTTATCGCTTTAAGTTTTATTATATTTTTAACAAAACGATGATTAATACAGGGTGAGTCTTAAATAGGAGCAAATATTTTTATGTATATGGGGTGGTATATTTCGACCCCAGGAACACGTCTGAGGTTTTTTTTTTCGCAAAAAAAGGATGTTGAAAATCGTGCCTATTCTACCGTATGATAAAAAAAAACGGCATCCAGTTGGCTGGGAAATGACGATCAATGACATTTCCCATATAAATCCCATAGCCATCGTTGACGCCGTTTTTTCTCGATCATACGGTATTTTTCTATATATTTTAGAAAACTTTTTAGAACTGCCTGTTCACCGCAAATTTTCTGACAGATAATTTTTTAATCTCTAATATTACCATGGTTACGGCACTAAAGGGCAAAAATCCGGTGGTTCCCAAAATTTTTTAAAAATGAATATATTTTTTTAAATTTCAAACTTTAATAACTCGGTTAATTTAGGCTTATTTGAAAAACAGAAAGGAGAAAAGAGATCTACCAGCCACGAAAATATTTGCACTTATTTAAGACTCACCCTGTATAATAAATTAGCCTTAAAAATAAAATTTTTACATATTTTCAATCAGTTTTTAAATAATAGAAAAAATCTTGAATGATGAGAAATGAAGTTAAATAATGAGAAAAAAAACTGTCTATATAGGGATGTCTACAAGTATCGATAGCTCAAAATATCAATATGGGAATTTAAAAAATCGATATACATAATAATGTAATAAATAAATAACTCGGAAAAAAAATCACACTAAAATACTAAGAAGGCGCCTGTTAATATATCAAAGTATAATTTACACAGTTATACAGTCATTATATTGCCTCATAAACATATTTTATAAACAAATATTAAAATTCAAATATACAAACGATATTTAATGATTTTTGTTCCAAAAGTGGACATCCCTATGCCTAGAGAATAAATTAAAATCCACTTACCAAGTTGATCGCCAGAAATTTTCGAGGTCTTCGAGAGTAATTCGGACCAACCAGATTTCTTCATTCGTTGTCTTTCCCTGACACTGAAAATTTTTTAATGATATTAAAAGATTTTCTGAGTAGGCATTCCGTTTTTTGTAATATTGAAATGAAAATTTATAGGTTATATTTGCCGTAACAATGCTTGTTTATTTAATATTCAACAGTAATTTAAATAATTACTGGTAAAATAAAATATAACAAATGATTACATAGGCAACCAGACATATGAAGAATAAGAAAATTCAAATTTACTATTCGATGTTCATCATAAAATAAATTCATTTAGTTTAGAAATACATATTTGGTTTAGGCGTTTTTGCAAAATTACTAAAATTATCTCAAACAATTTAAATCTAATGTTATCTGTTTATTAATTAAATAAACCAAAAGTTAATTAATATATGATCATAAATAACTTAAACAAATGACTCAGTTTGATTACTAGAAAAAGTTAAGTTATTTTAATAAAACCAAACAAACCTATTTTTATCAAAAATTTGTGAAATGACTCATCTAGTAACTATGTTTAATTAATTTTATATATTATAAACTTTGACTGGCATTATCAAAATTATTCTACTTTAAACAAGAACACCACTATTTATTCATGAAAATATATGAGGTATGATTCTAGTTTTTAAAATAAAAAATATTTATAGTAAATAATAAAAAAATAATATATATTATTGCCACAGTTTATAAAATATAATATACCTTTTAATCTACATGAAGTAACGACTTGCTCTAGAAAGTTGCTTTTTTTACTAAAAGATAGCTACTTGGCTCTTCTAAAAACTGTCGTCGCCGGATTTTTTGTTTTTCATTTAATTAAAAAAAAATAAAAAGTATTTTTTTCCCTTATTGTCGTGGCGGATGAGCCAGGCTTCAACTAGTAATTAATATTTTTTATAAACTGTGGTACCGGTTTATGCATCGGCTCAGGACATATACAGGGTGAGTATTAAATGAATGTGCTTAAATAAGTGCAAATATTTCTAGGGGTAGTAGTTTCGTCCCAAGAAACACGCCTATGACTTTTTTTCGCGAAAAACATTTATTGATAATTGAATTTTTGAAAAAAATTCATATAAATTTTTTTCTCAAAATTTAACAAAAAATACATTTTTTTAAATTTAACAGTAAAATAACTCGGTTTTATTCTTTTTTTAGAGTTGAAAAACGATAAAGGGAAATGTTTCTTTTACCGAGATCTACCAGCCCTAAAAATATTTGCACTTATTTAAGACTCACCCTGTATAAGAAATCCCATGTAAATTTTAAGAGCGTCGTTTATTTTATCCCCTATTTATTTTAGAGGAAACTTTTAATGGAACTTATTGAAGTAGTGGATTTAAAGTACCGCTAAGCCGTTTTTAAATTATTTTCAAAATTATTAAGCGCTTAAAAAAAGTAATTTGTAATTTGTACAGCAGTAAGACACTCTGGCCACTAGTAATTTATTAAAAAATAAATACTTCAGAAAAACTTCTCCACCACTATACAGGGTATCCCAGAAATAAGTGCAAGTATTTTAAGGGGTGGTATATCTCGATAAGAGAATCATATTTTCTCTTTATCGTTTTTCAAATAAGCCATACTTTAAAAATTTCCAAAAAAATAATTTTTGCTAAAATTTTGAGAACCACTGGATCTTTTCTAGATTTTCTTTCTTGTAAATTTAATCTAAAAAAAATTCCAAAAAAACTTTCAAAAAAGCGAAAAACCTCATAGGCGTGTTTCTGGGGTTGAACTATACTACCAGTTAAAATACTTGCACTTATTTCTGGGACACCCTGTATATACAAACTGTTCCCAGTTTTTTTAATCATTCCAAGTCCTTTCTAAAAAAGTATACATATACTTACATGATAAATTTGTTTTTCTCATCATCATTATCACTCATATCCTCCCATTCATCACTCCTGTCCGAAACCCGATCACTACTAAAGTCACTGGCAGTCTTATAATAAACTCCTTCAACGTTCACATCCCACATGGGCAAAGGCTTTCCATACAAACTATTACTCTTGTGGTCAGATGATAAAACACTGTCTCTGTTAGATCCACTATCTGTCAGTTGTGACCCATTGATACTTTCGTAATATCCATCTTTCCTGGACTCAGTGTAGATGGACTCATAGCAATTATAAACGTTCTCTTCCTGTCTTGTTGATGATGGAGGTCGTGGAGGTAACGGTTCTTGAAGCCTGGAAGGAATAGAATGGGCTGGAAGAGTCTCGTAGATGTTTTCCTTAATTTGGTTACGTCCGGAATCTTTTTCAGGAAGATTTGAGCATATTGGTTCGTAACCATCATCATTTCTGATTGGCACGACGGGTTTCAGTTCTTCATAGATCTTCTCCTCGCTATTTTTGATAATTTCCTCGTAATACTTCTCTTCAGGAACCTCCTTCGAAGGACTATCAGGTCTTATAATCTCCTCATACAGTTTTTCCGTTTTCATAACCTCCATTTCATTGACAGGCTTGGTAATTTCATCGTAACCTTTGAATTTCTCGTCGTTGGTGTCATTAATTGTTACAGAAGAACCGATTTCTTCGTAATCGGCCAAGGTATCGTTATCACAGTTCGTTTTGATTGAAGAAACAGGCCTCTTCCCCATCAATTTAGGAGGTAAAGCTGGCTTGGTGTCGACGTTTGGTTTAGGAGGTATATCTGGAGGTAGTTTCCTTGTGTCTTCCGGTGTGCCAACTTCACTAAAACTAGTTCTAGTAGACGTTGAAGATTTCTCCCTCCAAAGGAACGAACAGTTAGGCTGAATAGACGAGTTTCTTAGTTCCTTGTTGATGTTGTCCACGGACTTAGATTTGAGCGAGTCCGTTGGTATTTTTCGAAGATGCAATGTTTCGTACATGGAGTCGCATCTTCGTTGAGGTAACACAGCGGGAATGTTAATAATTTGTACTATTTCTTCGTCTCCAAACTCACCACTTTCTTCTTTAGGTTCCTTATTTGTTGTTCCACTATCTGTTTGAGTCAGGTGACTGTTGTCAGCCGCTTTCACAGGTGTTGCGTTTGGAGAAGGTCTCCTGAAATCCCTCAAAGTGGCCGATTTTTCTGGAATTTCCGGTTTTGGTTTCGGTGAAGGCTTCAAGGTGGATGTTTTGGTTTCGGGTTTAGTAGGTGACAAAGCTGTAACAGCAGATTTTTTCTCGAAAATCTCTATAGCTGCCCTGACTGATGTTCCGTTAGGAGAAGTTTCAATGATGGCTTTCGGCACGTTTAGAGTTCTGTTTAAGCTCAAAGTAGTGGGTCTCTGAATAGGTGTTTCGGTGAGTTTTTCCCTCCCCCAGCTCCCCTGTCTTTTAATACTGCTTTTTCTAACGGGTTTCGTCTTGATTATTACCAAATTCTTCCCTTCGAGAGCTGGTTTCGTTTTCACGCTCGGTTTTCGAGACACTTTCGAACCTTCTCTCTGCACCAACGTTCTTTTAACCTTATCCGTATCACTATCACCACGTTTCACCAACATCCTCATTTGTTCCCTGGAAACATTCTGATTTTCCACCATTTCGTTGAACTTTTTTGTCAATTCCGCTACTTTATTGGTCGGTATGTTAGCTATACGTTGTATTCCTACGTTCCTCTTATGCAATGACGACTGTTTTTTGATCTTAAAGCTGATTTTCTTCGGCACAGTTCTTTTGTGGTCCAGTAACTGCCCCAAAACTATCGATTTCTCCTCCATCTGCTCATCCTCGGGCTTCTGGTCTTCGATGGATACATGGAGGAAGGCCTTTTTCGACTGTAGGATGCTGTGTTTGAGCTTCTGGGAGTGTAGGAACGAGCGGTTTGACTGGAGGTGCGAGATTACCGGGTAGATTGTCACGTTGGGGTAGGGGATGTCGAAGATGAGGGGCGAGGTGTCAAACGCGACGGGTTTCTGGCAGTTTACTGTTGTCATAGCGGGTATCTGGAAGGAGAAGAGAGAGATATAATCAGAGAGATAAGATATCGGTCGTAAACAGATGTATTTAAATTTATTAGGTTTCGTGTGCGATAAGCATTGTTTTACGAGGTCGTACGAGTTTATATCGATCTGGGTCGTACTAAGAGATATATTGATCAAATAAGAACTTCTCAGAAGTTTGATTATTTGGATTAATCGTTCACATATGAGAATCTATTCAATAATAATATATTGTTTTATTAGAAGTAAAAATTATACTTTTTATGGCGAGGCTGTACGTTTGATATTACAGGAGAGGTACAAAAATCATTTTTACTCCGAATAAAACATGCTATTTTTTTTTCAAACGTCACAAATAATTTTTTAAACAATTTCAAACGTTGCAAATTATACAAAAAGATTTAAATTTAATACCTTGTAAGTACTTATATCTCGAAACAATAGTTACGGATCGTTGAATTTGACACTTTATGTCAGTTTGATAATACATTATCGTACTGTTGTGCTTAGACTGCTTAGGCGGAAAAGTGATTCACTTTTATGCCTAGGCGTTAAAATGGCGTTTTTATATTGTCAATCACGTCGCAAGAAATAATACTTTTGTGACGTTAGAAAAAATAAATTAAACGTTCCAAATTATATAAAAGGATAATGTAATACCCTTGTTTATATATTATTATTACATAATCAAGGGTACTACCTTGTAAGTTGTAGTGCTTCACTTTTATGCCTAGTCGTTAAAATGACGTTTTTATATTTTTTAATCACGTATTTTAATCACAAAAAAAAATATTTTTTTAAAATAGATTTGTCTGGAAATTTCTTACTTTTTTGTAAGTTAAATAATATTTTTTTACAAGTTTTTATATGAAAATCGGTTGCCATTTCAATGATTAATCCAAAATAGTTGTTTCAAATTTTTAAAACGATTATGTTTTTAGCAGCATAATAAATCATAATCATTAATTTCCCAAGTGAAAAATTCATTATGAAATTTTCAACTAATTCTCAGTTTTTCTTAAAAGTTGTTGCAGAAAAAGAGAAAAACAACATGTTTCATTTTCAAAATAAAAACGACAATTACTGTATACACATGATTTTTTTTTATTAATTTTGCTTTAGTTATACTTTTGTTTATATATTTTTAAAGGGTTATACAAAAGAAATGCTTGACAAAATCTAAAATTGGATCAAAATTGTGTTGACTTACAATAAAATACAGTGTGTTCCGTTTCAAAAAGTGGATCTCTTTTTAACTCACTCCAATTTTAGTATGTATAAAACTGGTTTCGAAGACGATCCTCACAAAATATTTCCGGTTAAAAAAGGTAAAAATAATATGAAAATTTAAATTCAAAAGTGGTCCTATTATGTAATAATATTTTTGGAATGGGAATTGAGAATTACTATTTGGTAAATCCACTCAGTGAAAGAATATGGAACATTTAATTTGAAAACTTCATCTTTAATGTGATAATATATTTAAATCGCCCTGTATATTGTATATCTATGATTTTTTTTTTAAAATATAGGCTGTTATTGTCTGCATATCTTATAAAAAAATATAATCTCAAATAAACAATTTTAAAAACTTAAGTGAAACGCTACTTAATCTTCGAAATATATTTTAATTTAAAATTCTGAAGAGTTTAAATCCTGAAGCCGTTCCTGCGAATATTTAACCCAAGAATAGAGTATTCTGATAAGATAATCGGTTAATATGAGCTCGGATATTTTTGCGACTATAACACCAACCTTGTTTGTTTTCTAATTACGTTTACTATAAAATTTATTGCACCACAGTATTCGAAAAACAAGGAACAAGCCACATTGCATAAATTCTTGACAATGGCGAATGCGCCAGTATTGTTAGAACCCCGTTGCAATTTCAATATTTTCAATATTCACAGGTGGATTTATCCTTTTCTGTTTGAAACTGATATGTGCAATTTGGTTTTGTGGATTTCCCTGTTTTTGTTATTTTCTCGACTTTCAGGTCGGTTTTAAATGGGATTTAAGAAAAAAATGTTCCCAAATTTTCCCAAAAGTGTTATTAAATTTATCTCATTGAGCGCTTGATTTTTTTTGTTATTATTACAAAATTATTCTTCAGAATATTTATTTATGTACCTACTGCAGAATTTTACTGCTGCGTTTTTGCTCTGTCTCGGGGTGTCTCGCTGGACCTCGCATTTTTTGTGGCGCCTCGGGTCCCCTCGGCGAGGGCATTAAATCGCTGCCTTTGACTATACAGGGTCTTCCAGAAATAAGTGTAAGTATTTTAACTGGTAGTATAGTTCAACCCCAGAAACACGCCTATGAGTTTTTTTTCGCGAAAATTTTTTTTTGAAAATTCGAAATTTTTTGAAAAATTTTTTGGAACTGTTTTTAGTTTTTAGTTAAAAAATATAATTTCTTGATAATATAGCAACATAGGTAAGAGATTAAATTTACAAGAACGAAAATCCAAAAAAGATCCAGTGGTTCTCAAAATTTTTCCAAAAACAAAAAATCATTTGTTTTTGGAAATTTTCAAAGTAAAATAACTCCGTTATTTTGAACTTATTTGAAAAACGATAAAGAGAAAATATATGTTTTTTTTATCGAGATCTACCACCCCTTAAAATATTTGCACTTATTTCTGGGACACCCTGTATAAATATATACAATAAATTAAACAAACTAACTAAATAAATTCATAATTTACTTTTCGGTAAAGACACCGGATTTTGTCCGGATTTCACTTGTCTGAAATTTCCAAAAACTTGTGTATACAGGGTGTCCCAAAAATAAGTGCAAGTATTTTAACTGGTAGTATATTGCGGCCTCAGAAACACGTCTATTAGGTATTTTTTTTTAAATTGAAAATTTGGAATTTTTAAAAAAAAATTTGAAAATGTTTTTTAGTTTTAAGTTTTTAAAAAACAGAATTTCTTGATAATATGGCAACATAGGTAGTAGCTTAAATTTACATGAAAGACAATCCAGAAAAGATGTAGTGGTTCTCAAAATTTTAGCAAAAAATCATTTTTTTTGAAATTTTCACAGTAAATTTGGACTTATTTGAAAAACTGTAAAGAGAAAAATTGTTTCTTTTGACCAGATCTACCACCCCTTAAAATAATTGCATTTATTTCTGGGACACCCTGTATAGAAACCTCATTCAAAAGGAGTGTCAATTCTTTTCATAATGACGTAATTATCGAAACCTCTTGAGAATAGAGGAAAAATCTTATGCTTTTTAAACAGTGCTTTCACTTGATAATGTAATTAAACGATGTTATACCATTTTCAGTGCGCAAGAGTATTTATTGACGCAGATACGTCAATTTTCTATATCGAACCAATTCAATTCTGCAATTTACGATCGACTCGACAAAGTGAAAATGCGAAAGTTATTTGGTTTATGGCTATTAAGACATTTTTCACGTGTATCGTATACCTATACAAGTTGTCCCAAACAGAACATTTCGGCGAAATCGGTACAGGGTGTCCCATTTTCGTGTGTTTTACAGGGTTTCGCGTTTATGAGTAGAGATACAAAGGTGCTGTTTTCACATCATTATGCTATTTATGAAATTAAAGATGCTACACATCGATTTGTCCTAGCCCTGTTAGTTCCTGAAATACAGGACACATTTGAACATTTTACATTTTTCGATCCCCTTTGTATCTCGATTGTTTTATAAAGTTTAATTGTTTTATATATAGAAAAGGCGAAAACTGTATAGACTATTTCACGTAGTATTCAGTGGCGTAACTAGTTGAAATATGACCCAAACTTATATTTTCTTTAAATGGGATATCCTGTAAGTATATAATTTTTTTTATTTTATATGCCTTGTTATGGGGAATGTATAGGGGGGGTAATTAAAATACGATGTACTTAAACAGCCGTTAAACGGTAGCCTACTAAAATGCCGTTAATAGATATTGTGACGTCGTTCATGTCGGCGGAAAGTAATGCCTAGCTATAAGCATTTTGGAAGAGCGCCTGTGCCTCCGTGGCTGAGGCTATCGATTCATGAGCGAATGGTCCGGGGTTCAAATCTCACGCCGACCAAAATTTTTTATATTTCTTTTTGCTTATAGCGTGATCTTATTGCATTGGTTGCACTCATTTTGGTTGGATTGGTTTAGTTATTTGGCGGGTTGGTTAGCGTGGTTATTTGGAGGGTGTTAATTCATTGGTTAGTTGGTTATTTGGTGGGGTTGGTTGGTTTTTACTAATTTATATTTGTTTTCTAAATTTTTTTATCGGTGTCGAGGTTAGTTGCGTTGGTTAAGTTGGTTATTTGGTGGGGTGGATAGCGTTGGTTAGTCCTTATAAAATTCCTATATTTCATAAAGCCGTCAAGTGCGTCACATCAACGACGTAATACCTATTAACGGCATTTTAGTAAACTACCGTTTAACGGCAGTTTAAGTACAGCCATTAAAATATTAAGTTATAATAATAATAACTCATCATCCAGTCTCAAAGCTTTGACAAAAGCCAGTATCTGAGCCGGTTTTATAGAAGTTAGTTCTCCATCTCCGATATCAGTCGTACCAAAGTTTGGTACGACTGATATCGGTTCTGGTGTTTCCCCATATTTCCCACAGAATTTGCGTTTACTGCTGTTTCCCATTGAATCTACTGAGATGTTCATTGAGGAGACAGTGTCTTGTAAATCCGAATATTTTTCTTACTTGAATCAACGAAAATCTTTGAGTTTTGTCGTTCGTAAGTTCTGAGAAATTTCTTCGAGTGTCTTACACTGTTGGAGGATTTCAATTCGAGGTTACGGATGGAGTCTTCCAAGTTCTTGAATTCGGCTTTAAATTGGTTTCCACTTGAGAAGCAAAACGGTTCTGGTCCAGTTAGTGGGAGTATTCGCTCATTTTCTAGCTATAGATCGTTTGCTTTTACATTGCTTTCTATCCCTTGGTGGTCTGGCACCCAGAGTAAGAGAACATTATTTTCTTTTCCTAATTTGTCCAGCTTCTCTAGGCATTCTTTG